CCTTTCCCAGCATTGTCTTTTCCAATGAGTCCTCTCTTCTCATGATGTGTCCAAAGTATGACAGCTTCAATTTGGTCATCTTGGCTTCCAGGGAGGTTTCCGGCTTGATTTGTTCTAGGACCCATTTGTTTGTCCTTTTGGCTGTCCATGGGATCCTCAGCACTTTTCTTCAGCAACGCATTATCTCAAATGCATTGATCTTTCTTAACTGACCAGCTCTCACATCCATACATGGCAATAGGAAATACAATGGCTTGTATTTTTCTAACTTTTATTCTGAGTTGTATATCTTTGCATTTTTGAATTTTTCTTAATTTTCATAACCACCCTCCCCATTCTTAGTTTTATTCTGATTTTCTGACTGCAGTCCTCATTTCTGTCAACCTGGAATGTGATCAACTATTAACCCATTTAGTTTGTTTGTTTGTTTGATTGATTTGTTTTCCCGTTTGGTTTTCATCACTCTTAGAGCCATGAACTTCTGAACTCAGGAAAGGTGATTACAAAGAAGTCTGAGAACTCTTAGCAGGAGTTGGTGATCAGCCATTTATAGGCAGAACACATCACCGCTACAGGAATCGAGAAGGCTGCATTATACACAATCAGAGGATTTGTCTGCCTAAGCCTATACTGTCAACACTGACTGGCAGTGGCTCCCAGGTTCTCTTAGGCTACATCTACCTTGAAAGCAGTTTCTTTTCTGCCCTTAAATGCTATTCTATGTTACTGCTGATCCAACAATACTATGTCCACTAACTGCAGACTTGAGGAGCACAATTGTCTAGAATGCTAGTGTTTGCACAGCAATTTTAAAAAAAAATGTATAGCCTTCCTTTCTGTCCCCAGGACAGTAGATACAACATGATTGAAATATAAAATTTTGGTTAGAAATAACAATATATGGGCCCTTGCAGATTGCTAGAAATAGTGAAAATTGAGTCCACTTTAAGGGTTAGGGTTAGGGAATCATGAGAACTGTAGTTTATTGTGGCACCAGAGCTCTCTGACAGAGAAGGCTCAATGTCTCAGAAAAAAAAACAGTTCCCATGATTCCCTAGTACTAACCCTAACCCTTAAAGTGGATGCAATTTGCACTATTTCTGGCAGTCTGCAAAGGCCCGAAGAAACCATTGCCAAAAAAAGTATCCCCACCCCCACCCTATGGCTATGGATTAAAAAATAAAACTTAACACCAAAGCCACTTGCATGCTTTTAAATTATGCTTATTATGTTCAAAAACAACCAATGTGTTTAACATAAGCCCAGAAGGAGTTCAGGTTGTTGTTTTTCTCCCAGAGCACTGACTTGTTACAAACTCATCAGGCAAAGTATAGCATTAGGAAACCTTCTGATGTTCAGCAGAGAGGTTAATTCACACTGAGAGCATTAAAAAAAACTGTATTTAGTAGAGAGGAATCCTTCCTGCTGAAAGCACACAGACCCAACAGATAGTTAAAACCACTTACTGCACCTAGGCCAAGCCTTGATTAATTAGGGGAGGCTCCCCTAAAATAAATAACAGAAGGAAACACACCAAGTGCTCTTAAACCAACATTAGAGTTTCATATACTGTATATACTCATGCATAAGTCTATAAATTTAGGTCAAAAAGTTGCTCCAAAAACCCTGAGTCAACTTATCCATGGGACTGTACTTTAACTCTTATTTTTAAAAAAAGGATCCATCCCCTGGTGAAAGGCAAGGGTGTAATCTGTATTGGAAACACTGACCCTGCTCTACTCTCTCATCCATCCAGCCTTTACTATGAACACAAACAGTTATGCCTGCTGGAATGTTGTTCTTTGGCATTGTTTTCCTTTCCTTCGTTTTTTACATCCTTTGTTACATGCCCCTATGTTTTACCTCAACTTATCCACGGGTCATATCAAGATCCATCATTTTGGTCCCAAAACCTGACCTCGATTTATACATGAGGCCGACCTATAGTCGAGTATATACTTCATATATATTTTTAAATGATTTGATCAAGTGTGTATCCTTCAATTTGAGGAAAAAAATAATTTCTCATTGCAAGATGAAGAGTTAAATCAGTGGGGAAATTTCAAGCATCACTCAAAGAAATATTATAGTTGCTAAAGACATACATATCACATTAAAAACCACTGAAAGCTATGCTATTTCTAGCAAATTTACATGTGCACATCCTTGTTTATGTTACAGCTGAAATCCTATGCTTGTATACTAAGAAATATACACCAAAACGCAGCCTATGGGTAGATCTGAAAAATAAAAGCAGTAAATCCTTCTAAGGTGGAGCCACATATCAAAGGACCATTTAGTACATATTCTGTTCAAACTGGGGCCAATCAGCTGTCCATGGGAAGTCCAAAAATAGGACATGAGCACAACTGCATGCTCCATCCCATGAGCCTCACAAACTGATCTACAGAGGCATATTGCTTCTGATACTATAGGTATACTAGCCACCCTAGCTAGGAACCACTGATGATCCTAATCTCCAGGAATTTACCTAATCCCTTTTTAAACCCATCCACACTGGCAGCCATTAGTACAACTTGAGGTCATGGAGTCTACAGTTTAAACTTCCACAAGCCTACAAGTTGCTGATTTCAATTATAGCTTCACAATATAGCCCATGCAGACCTTATATAATCATCATCATCATCATCATCATTTATTTTCTATCCTGCCCCTCTGCTGAAGCAATCAGGGCGGCTTACAAAATTAAAATGTCAAAATATACAATCCCAAAGAACCCCCTCCCACCCCTTAGACATGTTCTCTTTTGAGACGATAACTCCCAGATTTCCCTAGCCAACACCCATGTTGGCTGGGAGATTCTGTGAGCTGTAATCCAAAAAAGGAGAAACACTTCCAAGCTCAAATGTGACACCGAAAGGTCTCCTGATCTTCAAGAGTAGATCTGGAACACAGCTGAGATGCGGGGATGATAAGGGATGAAGCATACGAAGGTCTGAATCCTACCATTAGTCTAACTAAAGTAAAGCCATTAAAATCAACACATTTAAAATCAGCATTCAAATCAAGACGTTCCGTCTACAGGTTGAGTCCACATTTCATCTACAAGTTGATCCATCTACGTTCAAAAAGTGATTCAAAAGATCCACTCTAGTTGGGACTAACCAACAGTTCACTGGCCAAATCCGTATTATGAATGCAGAATGTTTGGGGGAGGTTTGTGGATCCTTGTCAATGTTTCTTAAGAGGCAGGTAAAAAGGCAGATCTTTCTAACTTGAAAAGAAAATTTTTTCACAGCTCCTAGGAGGTTTAACAAATATGAGGCACAAACATGAAAAGTACAAACTTGGAAGTATGAGTTATTACGAATCACACCTAACAGCACTCATTTAAGCATTCCCTCAAGAGTCTCAGACTGCTGCCACACAGCATAATTAACACCACTTTAACTGTCACGACTCCATCCTATCAAATCCTGGGATCTGTAGTCTGCTGTGGCGCCAGAGCTCTCTGACACAGCAAGCTAAGTACCTCACAAAACTACCAAGTCCAGAATTCCATAGCATTGATCCATGGCAGTTAAAGCGGTGTCAATCTGCAATAATTCTGCAGTGTAGATGCAGCCCGTCTTGGAAAAAAGGCAAGATACAACTATAATAAAAAATATTTTGAAAGCATATGAACACACTTGTCAAGTGCAACTCAGCATCTAAAAGTACATATTTTGGATTGTGATGTTCTCAACCATGCACCCTCTGCCACTGCACTACAGAGCCTAGCAAACTCCAGGTATATTTGATGATATTGTAATATCTGATTACAGAAAATGTTAGGGAATCTATAAGAAGCTATTATAGTATTGGTAGCTGGGGCACAATCAGCAGGCTATGCAGTGTCTCAGAAATGCCAAGGGGGTCTGGGTCACAGTGATGCCAAGCCTAGCACAACAGAACCACAGATGGCATGTAAGGTTTCCAACTTCTCCTTTAAAGCCCATGAATGGAATAGCCACCCATATGACAAAGTCCTCACCTCCAAAAAAAAAAAAAAAAAACACACACACACAAAAACCCTACATCAAAATCTTCACATTTCTTCTTTTGATTTTATCTGAATTGATTTTATGGAGAGAGGCAGCTCTAAAAAGACCTTCTTCATCTGCCTGAAGTGATGGACCCTTAGAATGAGCTACAACATTTGCATGGGCAAATCACCAATTTAAATAATACTGTAATGGCCACATCATCATAATCAGCCACTGCTATCCATTCCAAGGGCACTCACCACCAGAAAAGGTCCCCAAGATCCGTTTACCAAGAACTAGGCTTTTTTAAAACTTCTCAGTAGCATTAGCCCTTCATAGAGAACCAACCAGGCCAAATTCAGTTCATTATTCAGTTGGAAAGACACCTCAAAGTGAAACTGAATTATTTAGGAGCTCATGCACTCCTACCCTTCTTTACTATAAGCTATGCTTGGCGTGTTTCTTTACTAAGGAAACATGACATCTAGCGAGAGGGACAAAACAAAGGATAAAGTTCAGTTCAACACCGATGAGATAAAAAGCTACCCAGGTCAAAAACACTCTTTCCAGAAAGATGTTTTAACTGCAATGATTTTCAAGCACTTGAGCTAAGACTGGATGTCCAAAAATAAAGCTGGTAAAGAGAGACAACAGAGAATGATCTCCTCAATGAACATGCATCCCTAACTTTGATCCAATAAGGTTTTCCAATCACTTTTTCTTCTAGTTAGAATCAAGATATATATATATGGGTATGGTGTGTGTATTTGTGTGTGTGTGTGTGTATTGTTCTGGGTATGGTGTGTGTGTGTGTGTGTGTGTGTGTGTGTGTGTGTGTGTGTACACACCATACCCAGAACAATCACAAGTACTGCAGAACCCATATGTTGTCATTTCTGATTTATGGTAACCCTAAGGCAAATCTATCATGGAGTTTTCCTGGCAAGCTTCTCTAGAGGGGATTTGCCACGGCTATCCCCTGGGGCTGAGAGAGTGTGACCCGCCCAAGGTCACTGGCTGAAGTAGAATTTGAACCTTGGTCTCCAGAGTCCTAGTCCAACGCTCAAACCACTACACCATGCTGTCTCACTGTAGGGTCCATACTTGTCATAATAAACTATAGATTCAAATAATTAATCTTACCTGTTAAAATGTCTAATTTGTATTAAATAATATGAAAGAGGGGGGCATTAAAGGAGAAGAGTTGGCAACATCTCTTATGCAGCTCTGTTTAAACCAGGGGTAGGCAACCTAAGGCCCAGGGGCCATCTGCGGCCCCCCCGAGGCCTTTGGACCGGCCCCAGGCCGGTCCTGCCACCGCCTGCCATGATGATATTGATTATTGTTGTTATTACATGTTCTTGGGGTTTTCTTGGCAAAATCTCCACAGGGGTTTTGCCATGGCTTTTCTGGGGCTAAGAGAGTGTGCATACATATATTTTTATTTTTTTATTTTTTATTTTTTAATTTATTTATTTATTTTTGGTGCTTCGGCCCCCCAATTGTCTGAGGGACTGCAACCCGGCCCCAGACTCAAAAAGGTTGCCTACTCCTGGTTTAAACTATTTATGTGTTCTGCACGTCCCATTCCGCAAATCAACTAGTGCACAGACACTATGAAACAAAATTCCAGAAAAGCCTGGAAAAGTATTATGTCCGGAAAAGTGAAAAGAGTTCCCCAAAGCATATCTGGCATCATACATCTGGACTCTTCCTGGCTTCATCTCATTGCAGGCTCTCAGCTAAACAGACAATCCCAGAGCTCACATGCTCCAAGAAAAGATAATCTGTTAGGAATGTCTGAGCACACAGATGCTCCAAATGTGTAACACTCAGTCAGGATGGACTTGCTTGCTTCTGACAAGAAAATAAGTGGAGACCAAAAACTGAAGACAACTTTATACATATTATATCTGAAGTATGTCCTGTCCAGGTCAAACTGACCTCCTGCCAAGCAAAGTGTGCACCAAGTCTAAAGTTCCAGAGTTAAGCTGTCATAATTTTTCTCCTTAAGAGCCAGCCAGCATGGTGCAGTGGTCTGAATGCTGGACTATGATTCTGGAGACCAGGGTTCGAATCCTGCCTCTGCTATGGAAACCCACTGGGCGTCCTTGGACAAGTCACACGTTCTCAGCCTCAGAGGTTGGCACTGGCAACCTCCCTCCAAAAAAATTGTGCTAAGAAAACCCCATGATAAGGTCGCCATGGTCCAAAACACACTGCAAAAATTATCCCGTTTGAGACCGCTTTAACTGTCCTGGCTCAGTGCTAGGGAATACTGGGGACTGTACTTTATTGTGGCACCAGAGCTCACAAAACCAGAGTTCCCAGAATTCCCAGCATTAAACATTAACTGGGTTATTTCTGCAGTGTGTTTTGGACCCATGAGTCGGGAATGACTCGAAGGCAACCAACAACAACAAGAAACAAGAACAACTGGCAACATATCGTGCTCCGCTCTTGTGCCTCAACAAACTACAGTACCATTCCCAGAATGCCATAGCCTTGAGCTAAAGTGGGGTCAAACCAGATTATTTCTCCAGCATGGATGCAGCCAAAGAAGCCATGCAGGGAATACTTTGTTTTTGTTTCTAGGAAAGCAACAGGCTGAAAAGAAATCCACAGCTCAATTCCGGAAAACTAGAAAGCTCTGGCATCTCCCGTGAATTAAGGAAAAAGGAACCCCTGAGTTGTGTTTCCACAGCTTAGAAGTTTCACACCAAGTTGCAAAACCCCACGCTGAGTGTGTCACGCTCACTTGGGGGTGTGTTTGTGTTGCTCACAGCCAGGGAGCTTTCAAATTACTTTTCGGCTTTTTGGAGCGATACCTCATGGCACGTTTGATCCCTGTGGAAGAGGCGCACAAACCTGAAACAAAACAAATGGAGGCAAGGGGACAGGACCAGGCAAAGGAAAGCCGAGGGAGGAAGGGAGGGAGGGAGGGGGACCAAAAGGAGAGGCCTCAGTCCACTCTGCAAAAAGAATTGCAAGCCCTAGTCATGTTAGTCTGGAAAATCAGACTGCAAAGGGATCATATAGCACCTTTGAGACTGAAAAGAAAGAAGTAGGTAGGTAGCATCAGCTTTCCTAGACTTGAGCCACTTCCTCAGGTGGATGTTTGTCCAAACATGAATTAAAAGCCCACCTTGAAATGCCTTCCTGAAGGATGTCTGGGGCAACGATGCAGCTTTATCTTCTGCTTTGCCATCCCTAAATATCTATCTTTAAACTATGTATGTGTATAGGTTGCTTTGGAAAGGGGGGGGGGGAGGAAATCTGCCTTGGACTGGTCTGTGCTGGATGAAAACTCCCATCATCTCTTGACTATTTTTTTAAAAAAAAATGAATAGTTTTTACTATTTCTATCTGTCAATTATAATCCTTTCCTTACAGTCTAGTGAAATTTGGATTCAGTAATTTTAAAAAGTTATCTTATGGCAGACTCAAGTCTAGGAAGGTTCAGGCTACCAGCTTCTTTCTTACAGTTAGTGTCCAAGGTGTTACAGGATGATGATGATGATGATGATGATGATGATGATGATGATGA